CTAAAGGACCATCACAATCACCCTCAAAGATTTTGTTTAACTAAACATATGCCTTTGTTGAAATTTTTAGTGATGTCTTTAGAATGATCTTTTTTTTTTTTTTTTTCTTTTGTCAAAATGCATAATATTGTTAAACACTTCCAGACCCATCTCAGTAGTATTGCAGCATTTATGGATCACACAGATATATTGAGCATCTTCTGTTACTTGCCAAGAGTAACAGTGACATCCTGTGGCCAATTCAATAGACGATTTGCACCGAGTTTCCATTATTGTTTTCTTTCAAATTTGCCTGTGAATTTCTTACACCATGGGGAGTACCATAGGAGGAATCCCTCATCTACACATAGGAGGGCTTCATCAATTTGTCCTGCGTCTCTCATTAGATGCTTCCATTACTGGAATACATGTCTAATGAGCACTTTAATTCTAACACACAGAGAACACTCTCTGACCCTGATGGCTAAATACTTGGGAAGGTAGAGCAGGGAAACGTAGAAATTGAGAAAAGAGGAAAATATTACATTTCAGTTTAAATTGATGTTACAGGAGTATACTGCTGTCCATTATCTGTCATACCATTTTTCTCTAACGTGGAAACTGTCCACTGAACTATATCGGTATGTAATGACAAAATATCCACAATATAAAACTACTACATAAGCAACTAATGTTGAAGTTAAGATCATCCTTTTAACTTCTTACTTGCATCATTACTTTGGTTTGCTTAATGAGTCTAAATAACACAGTTGCTCTGTAACTACTGACATAATTCTGTTTCCAGTTAAGTCTTTCACAGCCCTATAGTTCTACTGTGTTATCACATGCTAATGTAAAAGGCATGTACCCCAGTTAAAAAAAATTTAATGAGTTTATCCTTTGACACTTGCTACGTCATTCAGGCAACATAGTTGACTGAATACTATGGTCTGCCCACTGCAGGTGGTTGAAGCCTCATGCATGCTAAATAGCTGAGAAAAGAAAGATTTTAAAACTTCATGAGAGGAAGTGGTCTGCTTTTGGCTATTTTTGTCTTTTGGTGGTGGTGATTTTTTGTTGGTTTGGGTTTTTTTTTAGGGATGTAGGAAGGAGAAAAGAAGTAAGAAATGTTGGTCAAAGAAATATTGGTCAAAGATCAAATTAAGTAATATTGGTCAAAGATCCCTGTGAAACTTCTGTAAAATACAGATTGTTTTAAAAAAATTAATAGACATGCAGGGAAGAGTGTAATAAGTTAGGTTTTGTGTCCTCTCTGCTTGAAATTTAAGCCCATTATGTCTCGTCCTTTCAAGAGGCCATTTAGGTTAGGTGTTTGGGTGGTGAGGCAGTGTTCTTTAAGCGTTGGAATAGACTGCATTAGTCAACGGTTTATTCTTGAAAGATTTCTGTAAGCAGGTTAGACCAGTGTCTATGACAAATATTTTAGGTAGAGTTGGCCCTATCTTGAAGCTGAGAGATAGAGCAGGTGACTTGCCAAGGCTTCTCCCAGTCCCTCCTTCAGTGAGTTTATGGTTATGTCAGTGTACTTTGTGTTTTAAGTAGTATTTTGTGTATATTCAATATTATACTTTCCCAAATACACTAAGTCTTACTCTGCTTGCTTGAGTGTCATCCAGAAAAACACTGCCTCTTCTCACTCCTTTTTCCATTTGTGGGCTCTGGCAGACCTGTGTTAGGTGCCATACAGATAGTGACTCATAGCAGGAGTACTTATGTTGAACAAAGAAAGCACATTACTTCCATTATCAAAAGGCCTCTGTATCCCAGAAGGACTGGCACACAGGAATGC